GACAAGGTTCGACGTTGCTTAACTTTGGAACCGATGTTTTAACATGATATGGCCATAAGCCACACCAACCCCACAGCACTAGGTATTCCCATGTGGTCACCCATCTGATCAGGCTCGACGTTGCTTAACTTCAGAAACCGGTGTTTTAACGTGTATCTGGCGTAGGATTTGTAAAACGCGAATCTATGAAACTCTTGCATAATTTAGATTCTCGTGACATTATGTATTTTAATAAATGTATATATGGGAAGCTATGGGTTAAATTAAAAAAAAATCAGGGTAAAGTGAGTTCTAAAACTTTCAGTGGGGGTCAGTCTAGGATAACTCTGAATTCAACACCGATTAGTTGCAACAGACAATGCTTGTAACCATAAGCCGGTAGCACATCTACATAAAAGAAAACAGTTATTAAAAAATTCTCCTGCTTGTCGACTGTACCAACACAGAGGAAAAATTTACAACTCTTATCTTTGCCTCTTAAATCAGCGTTTTTTTCCTATCTCTTAGTGTTGAGGTAGGATCCACCGAATTTGCATAGTGGAGTACCGACCATATAAATATGGTTGGTACCGGGAAGACGAGGGAAGGAATCAAGAGATTCAATCCAGAGAATCTGCCGACTGCGACGAAGTCAACACATTCTCCAGGAACGGTCTTCCCAAGAATATACAAAAGACTATATGTAAATATTGTGTACCTTTCTTGTTTCAATACATTTTGTTCTAAGTACATTTTGTGTTGCATTATTATTCCGTGCATTAGTCAAGTTTCAACACTTAGTAAAAAATCAAGCAACCTTTTGCTCCACCTTTTCTTCTTTCTATGTGACTCGTCGACATTCATTGCTTAACGTCTTTTCTGATATACTTTGATTGATATACGTAATCTTGATTAAATTCCTTTCTACGTGATAACAAGCGTCAACTAGAAAATAAAATTTATTCGTAGACCTCTCGTAATAATATCGTTGCCAACAAGACAATATACGAAATCATTTTGCATGCATTGGTCAATATTTCTGTTGTTTCTATAACCTGTGATATCAAAGGTAAGACTATTAGACTCTAACGGTGTTTTGCTGAATAAAAATACAGTACGGTCAAATCACAACCCATGGCTGAAAGAGTCTAACTGAATATTTGAACGATCGTATTGCACATATATGCGTATGCGAACAGGACACCTCAACGTCGTGTCATAGTTAAAAAACTTATCTCTCGAGATCAATTACGAATGAATAGTGAGTTCGATCTTCACTGGTTGCTCCATACTTTCGGCCTTGTGCCACAGCTAACCTTGGGATATCTCCATATACCTAATTGAATCATCTTATTTTTTTAGTGGCAGTGTATTTTGTTAGACAAAACAGAGGAAGTCGATTTTGATTGGCTGATCCGAACGTTGGAATGTTAGAGAGATAGAAAGTGTTTTCAAGGAGTGAGGTTTTACACGTCGAAGAATGCAGACGTGTTATTTTCGTGTTGAAAAACTGCCCACCAGTGGGGTAGCATAGCAACCCCACTGGCTAGTTAGAAGATGTACCCGACGACGTGTTTAAGAAAATAGATAAGTTTAAAATTCCCTTTATTGATGTCTCTCTTTCATCTTCGGATCGAAAACCAACTAGCGATCACCCGACCGGGAGAAGACGGCCGAGAGAGAAGAATGAAGCTTTGATATGGAACTAAAAGAGGTCACCAGAACGAAGGGTGGGGGTCAATACAACATTTTCTTAATTTGGTGCGCAGTGATCAACCCCTTCCAACAAGGGAGGACACAAAAGAACCCCAGAAGAGATGTGGGTATACAGCAGCTTTTAAAAATATAGTTTTTATCCCCATTAGCGCCGAAATATAATCTCTCCCTCAATGTCTGTTAACCAAACCATGATTTACGAGAGTTACCCATTCCCGGTAGAAAGAAAGTTATAAGTTAATAAAACGCATGTCCGTTTTATTTTTTCCAGTTGAAAAGAATTAAGGAATATCAAGAACTGATTACGTGCCCAAACATGGATGTATCTTTTGAGGTCGAAGCGCTTTTTATGGTTCTAATCAAAGCGATAATCCTTTTTTTCAGACGACATGCAAAATATTAAATTAGACGACCGTTGTGTTTTGTTCGAAATTGTAATACCAATGGTAATAATAACCGTTTCCTTGTAAGGAAACATTCAGCATTCACTGACCGAGCAGCCATCGCGTTAGACTTATAATATTTTTCTTACAAATAATTTTTCAGGAAAATAGTTTTATCACATTCAGTTGCTGTTGACAGGGGTTTCCTTCCTCACCGTTTGTTTTGGGTTGCGTGGAATATCAATTTATTGATTATCTTGTTATTCCCTGTGCGAGTTTTATGTGCCACATATTTTAGTTGTTGCTGCTGTTGAAAACCTCAGATGTGTAGTTTCTGCTATCTGATACTGTTCTTTGGGATTCTGTAGCGCCAGTTCATTTGATTCGAGGAAGGACGGCCTTCGCTGAATCTTAAATCGCTTGTGGTCATTTTAGAACAGTGATCAGAGTAAACGGTTGTTTACAAGCGACAGTTTAAATATTTTAGAATGTTTTTTTTTTTGCCACGCATGACATTCATATGAAATTCTCGATATACTGAGACTATTGAAGCATACAGGGACCGAAGAAAAGTTTTTTGCTAGGAGAAATAAACTACATCCAATTCCAAAATTTAATTACGTAATCCCTATTCTACATAAATAAAAAGTATTTGAAACTGGTATAGAGTAGGTTTCCATTTTCTAATTTCAGTGATTGTACTCGATTGTTTATGGATTTGAACAAATTATCAACAATCGTCTGATCCATATTTTGCCACTCCTTTAGCAAGGTTTCTTTAAGGGCTGCCACTAACGTGATTTTGGCTGCACGCTCTCGAAGTTTTTCGTGAAGGTGCTCTCAAACGTGCTCTATTGGATTCATATCAGGACTTTATGACAGTGACCTGATTACTTCCAGACCTTTGCTACTTTACTCGCATATCATGGCGCTCCGTCTTCTTGAAAAAGGTAAACATTCCTGTCAATCTGATTGGTTTCAAATAGTGGAAGCAGTCATTTCTTTCGTATTTGACAGTATTTTGGACCATTAAACCAATCAAAAAGAATCAGCTCAGATTTCCCTCTAAACCAGACAGCGCCCCACACCATTACACCAATCCCTCTATGTTTCACGGTCGCCTGCAGACATTCAGTGTTCCAAGTCTCATTCTGATTTCTCCAAACATAAACCTGTCTTTAATATCGAATATTGGCAGAATTTACTTTCATCTATCCAAATTACAGACTGCCAAAGTTCATAACCTTTACACTGGAATTCAAATTCGGCCAGTCCATACGCCTGTATCTGTTAACCTCTGAAATCGAGGGCTTCTTTCTTGCAACTTTTCTTTGATAGCCTAGTTCTTTCTTTCTCCTCACATATTGCGATATTTCCGTAATAATAATAATTAACTGATAAGTTTAATTAACTCATATATCATGGACTCCGTAGATTTATTTCAATGGCCGACCTGATTTGTTCTGCATAGAAATACCTCTTTTTTCGCTGCGGATATATTACAAAACCATCATTTAATACCTGACACTGTGAAAAGTAACGAATTACTTTTATAAATTTGAGGCTGGCCTGCTCACTCCAAAACAAGGACGAAAAGCCATATGAACATATGTCCGCAAATATTTCGTTTTTGAAATATTAAGTTTAAAAGAAGTTTAGGGTAGATAGCGCTGTGCTACCATTAGATTAGGTTAAATTTGTCATTCGTGTACATTTGTGGCTAGTCTGTCTTTAACGATTAACGTGTGTAGTAGTCATTTAAGAAGTGTTCCGTTTAACATTTGCAGGATATTAATATAGTTCGGAGGCAGATATGTTTTTTTAAATACATCCGTCCGAATGGTATTGGATACGAGACTGCACGGCTGTATCAGATTGCGTTTCCCGACCGAAGAAAATCGGGTTATCCAAACTTTGCTGCTGTTTATCGTCGCGTTGCTGAGAGATAATCCGTGGTACTACAAACTATGGATCGAAAAATTCAAGGTTTGGCCTTGAAAAATATTCCATCATCCGGGATTGCATCAGATTTTCATCTTGCTCAGACACTATTACCTTGACTGTCGATTAGTTGTCCTATGGACATTGTCTGCAGTGGACGTTACTCAAGGAAGTTTACGAAAATTGTAATGCTGCACGACCACACTGGCAAGCCTTACCCGTGAGCAAATCAAAGTACTATAGACTGGTTCCGGAACTTACCCGATTTAAATCCAATCGAGAATCTGTGGTCACTCTGCAAGGAACCGCTTCGTGGAATGGTCATACGAATAAAAGCATGAGCACTGCTCACAATTCATTAGAAACATGAAGAAAGTAAGGAATAATTCGTTTTGTTTCAATTAATTTGACCAATGGTGTCCTTAAAATGAGCTAATTTCACATCCAGCAGACGTTAACGACTTCATCACGAAAAACAATTTCTGACCATGGTATCATAATTAATGAAAACAAAATATAAATAAAATTGTATATACACACTTAGGCAAATTAATTGAGACAAACCCTTTAGTTGCCTTGAAATTAATGCAGGCAAAATTTCACAGATCTAGCATGGATACTTCATTGTTAGGCTATGAACATTTCAGCCCTCAATCTTACCGGAGAAGAAACAATGCAGTTATTAAAAAGAAGAGTTGACATTATTGTATGCAAGAATTCGCAGTTGTAGCCTCATTCCTTCATATTCTGTCTATGAAATTTTCAGCCCACAATTTTACCTGGGAAGAAACAATGCATTTAATAATTAGAAGAGTTGAAATTAATGCGTGCAAGATGTCACAACTCTAGCCTCATTCCTTCATACTCAGCCTACGAACTTTTCAGTCCACAATCGTACCTGGGAAGGAACAATG